ATACTGTATACACCACCTGAACTTATTTTTATTTTGCTGCAGTTGGTTGGTCAGGTGTAGGTTCAGCAACAGTATGTGCTCAAAGAATGAGGTCAGCTGATGACCTGAAAATACTGAATGACCAGGTTATTCCATCAATAGATTTTTTTCTTCTCTGATGGCATGGGCATATTCCAAGATGACAATGCTAGGATTCATTAGGCTTGAATTGTGAAAGAGTGGTTCAGGGAGCATGAGGCATCATTTTCACACATTGTTTTTCCACACAGAGTCCATTGAGAATCTTTGGAATCTGCTGGAGAAGGCTTTGCACAGCAGTCAGACTCTACCATCATCAATGCAAGATCTTGGTGAAAAGTTAAAAATAAAATAAAATAGTTGGATRGAAATAAATCTTGTGACATTGCAGAAGCATGCCATAATAAAAGCTAAAGGAGGTCCAACAAAATATTAGAGTGTGCGACCTTTTTTTTTTGGCCAGGCAGTGTGTATATATACAGTATATTCAGAATAGAAGTACTGACATGCGTAGAGTTGTGAACTTTCCTTAAATTCTGCTTCCAAGATGCACTTAAACAAACGTTCAAATGTGTGTTCTGAGCCCAGAATGGTCCAGGTTTTAATAATGGTGGAGACTTTACTGCACTCCCTGATTGAGCTACAAGTGAAGCAACAAATGCTGTTTGTCTTCCTTCTTTACCGGATGAGAGAGTGGGAGAAAATAATCATTATCTGAAAGTTCTGCAACTAGAGCGCTGCTGCCCATCCTTTCACAAAAGACTAAAAACCAGTGGCTGAAAGTCAGAAGTCTTGCAGTCAGGTCAGTTTTCCACAAACAGAATAACATGATCAGCATAAATATTCACACGCAAACTGTTCAGAATATTAATAAGCATAAACAAACCCTCTCATTCAGATTACAAATTCATTCAGATTGAGCCTTATCAGATCAGAATCGTCTAGTTACATAGCTGTTTTTGGTGATATACACTTAAAAAGTCTAATTTTTCCCCTTCCAAGGATAGCATTAAGACTTATTTTGTATAGCTACAACCCTTTTTTTAGAATAATATGTAAACAAACACCTCAGTCTATAAATAAGGTTTGTAAAATGCTTTTAATTTTAATTAGTTTTAAACACAAATATTGCAGATATTAAAAATAAAAGTGGGAATCCTCACAAATAGGAAACTGAAATCAGCTGGTTAGCATATTTAAATTTGTCTTAACACAATTGTTTAAACACTATATTGCCAAAAGTAAATGCTCACCCATCCAAATGATCAGAATCAGGTGTTCCAATCACTTCCATGGCCACAGGTGTATAAAATGAAACACCTAGACATGCAGACTCTTCTAACAAACATTTGTGAAAGAATGGGTTGCTCTCAGGAGCTCAGTGAATTCCAGCATGGAACTGTCACCTATGCAACAAATCCAGCAGTGAAATTTCCTCACCCCAAATTAAAGTTTGGGAACAACAGCAACTCAGCCACAAAGTGGTAGGCCACCTAAACTGATGGCGCAGGGTCAGTGGATGCTGAAGCACATAGTGCAAAGAGGTCGCCAACTTTCTGCAGTCAATCACTACAGACCTCCAAACTTTATGTGGCCTTCAGATTAGCTCAAGGACAGTGCACAGAGAGCTTCATGGAATGGGTTTCCATGGTCCAGCAGCTGTATCCAAGCCATACATCACCAAGTGCAATGCAAAGCGTTGGATGTAGTGGTGTAACGCAAACCGCCACTGGACTCTAGAGCAGTGGAGGCACTTTCTCTGGAGTGACGAATCGAGTTTCTCCATCTGGCAATCTGATGGACGATTCTGGGTATGGCAGTTGCCAGGAGAACGGTACTTGTCTGACTGCATTGTGCCAAGTGTAAAGTTTGGTGGAGGGAATTATGGTGTGGGGTTGTTTTTCAGGAGCTGGGCTTGGCCTATTAGCTCCAGTGAAAGGAACTCTGAATGCTTCAGCAAACCAAGATATTTTGGACAATTCCATACTCCCAACTTTATGGGAACAGTTTGGAGCTGGCCCCTTTCTCTTCCAACATGACTGTGCACAAAGCAATGTCCATAAAGACATGGTTGGCAGAGTCTGGTATGGATGAACTTGATTGGTCTGCAGAGTCCTGACCTCAACCTGATAGAACACATTTGGGATGAATTAGCAGAGACTGAGAGGCAGGCCTTCTGTCCAACATCAGTATGTGACTTCACAAATGCGCCTCTGGAGGAATGGTCAAAAATTCACATAAACACACTTCTAAACCTTGTGGACAGCCATCAGAAGAGTTGAAGCTGTCCTAGCTGCAAAGGGTAGACCAACGTCATATTCAACCTTATGCATTAGGAATGGGATGTCACTTAAGCTTATGTGTGAGTCAAGGCAGTTGAGCAAATACTTTTAGCAAAATAATGTATATCTTGTTTTAAGTCTGTGTGAACTGATCTGTGTCAGACTATCATATCTTAGTGTAACATTTACTGTGGCACAGTCATTTGGATGTCTGAGGACAATTTCGTCAGATAAACTGCACATTTAGGAGTTTCTGTTCCACTTTAGGACGTGATTTTGTCATCTTTTCCTCTTTTAGGCCCCTCTCCCTGACTTCTGTATCCTTGTCCTGCAACGGTTGTTTTTACACTGTAACATTCAGTAAACTGCAACATCTAGCTCTCACCAAAAAGCCTACAAAGCAGTCACGCACACTTGCATTTTGTAATCCATTTACCTTTTTTTCCCTAAGCGCTCCACTTCATAAACTGTGAATTTCAAAGCTCAGGGCTACATGGGAAAAAGCCGAACCATTTCAATTCACATTCTTAATGTGCCGCTGGAGAGAGAGCCAGGATTGTTGTTTTGACACAAAACGCAGACAGTCCTTGGGGGGTTTCCAAATGTCTTGATAGAAAATACTTTAATGGGGAAGTAAAGGCCCTGAGTTACCTCTTAATAGTGCCTCCTTGGAAGACATCTTGTGGGACAAGACTGGAGCAAAGCTGTCAACATTTTCTTCTTTCATTTAGAAGACAAACGTCTGATTGAGAGTTTATATTATCAGGAAATAAGGTTGTATGTAGGGCTGTAGAAAACCTGCGATGGGCGATAGCAGTGCTTAGTATTGCGATGATGATACGAGTTGCGGAAAATGAAGAAAACTTCAGCATGCAGTGTTGTCTTTCTGCTCTGGGCTCAGAGCAAACAAACAACTACATCATTTCCATTTCAACATGAGTTTTTTTTTTATAAAAAGAGCAACTAGTCACGTACTGCTGTTTATTAGCAGTGAAACAACAAACTGCATGCAGTTCTGTTTGTTAATGACATTTTCTGATGCTGTAAATACTGGGCCCTTTACCATCATTTATTTTCATAAATAATAAAAACATCTGAAAATAAGTTAAAGAATTTTAAATACAAGTTAAACTTAAATCCGTCTGCAAATTCTCTCATTTCAGTTGTCCAACACTGATCTCTGAGTTGATGTGGCCTCTCCGGTCCATTTTGTTCATCAGACTGATGCTGACAAAATGCATGAATGCAAACATTTGGTCCAAACATTTATTGCTGTTTATGCCGTTTTCTGCTACATGCTTGTTGCACAGGCTGTTATTGCAAAGACAATACATTTGTGATATATTGTATAGCCCTAGTTGTGTTTTTCCAAACCTCTGGAGACCTGTAAGGTGTCTGTAATAAAAAAAAAAAATAAAATAAAAATCTGTAATCAGAGAAAACTAAAGATTTAGGTTGAGTCCTCCAAACAATAGATTGTGGCTTAAAATTTCAAAACTTTGCAGTTCAAATAAAATTAAAATGATTTCCAAAAATAAAAAAGGGTTTGCAAATTATTTTTTATTTTCATTTTCTTTACGAGGTTAAAAGTTTACTTGTGGTTTAGGGTGTATTAACATCTGACACATTTGGTCTGTTTCAAACGGACTAAAGTTTGTTTCCCCCGTTGGTCCAGACCTTTTTATGCAGGTGTGAATACACTCGTGAACCCTGGTGTGGATCAAACAACCGGACTGAGACCCATTTTTGAGGTGGTCTGGGTCTGCTTCCAAACAAACTCTGGTGCGGTTCGCTTAGGGTTGGGCATAATCATATCGTGTGCAATTCATCGTCAGAAAAACATTAATCCATTATTTTTTGACACTTGATTAATACGATTAATGCCACCAGGCAGACTGACTGGTGCTCCTCTCCGCTTCAAATATGACGAACATTAAAAAGAAAAGTTCTGTAATTTATTTATCTGTCAACACAATTAAAAATTTGATTTATAGCCTGAAGTCTGTAATTTTTACATAATTTGGAACAGATTTTTATGAAGAGCAAATCGTTCCCATTAAATTGGTCATGTGGCTAGGACATAAGAGTGTCCGGGGACTCCAGGGGATTAATCTTCAAATTAAACGTTATTGGCTAAATACCACAATTAATTGTGATAATTTTTTTTGCCAATCTTACCCAACCCTAGGTCGCTACTGGTGTGAATACAGACTGGCCTCGAACTGAATCAACTACAGGAAATATGCGCCTTTCTGGACTTCACGAGCCAGTGTTGCTAAGCATCGTGGTAACGATTAGCCTTTCAGTGTTGCTAACACTAACATTGCACTATAAACAATGAGCCGTTGTGGGTCAGGGAACGCAGAGCATCTTGTCTCCTTTAGGTTGTGGAACGCATTTGACAACGTCCCAAAATTATAAGTATATCTTTGCAAAACTGCCACTGAATGAGCTGCTCTTGAATAGTCAGATGTATTAACAGCACCATCTTTCTTTCCAGCTCTGTGCTCTGTCCTGCCCCTGTCATTTCTGTCCAATGAAATTATGAACATCACCTTCGTGCCTTTGTTATATAGTCCACTTGCAAAAAGCACAATGTAAATGCAAACCGCACCAAAGGGAAAAAAATAATCCATTATTTGGTCCGGACCAAACAAGTGGACCATAGGACTTTGCTCATGTGAATACACTCTTAAACTATTTTTTGTATAGAACTGATCCAAGGAAAAAACGTCTGTTTTGGACAACTCTACCCCTAAAAGGATCTTTAGTGTCACTTAACATCAGCTTCAGATTGCTTTTGGTTGCTCAGTTTTCTGTGTTGGGAAAGCTTTTAATGTCATTGCTCCATTGAAAGAACCATTACCTTGTCAGAGTAGTTTGTTTTTCATATGTGTGTCTGAGTCATGTGTCATAAACACACACTGTTGTTGGTAGTTTTAGTTTTAAGACGATGATGTGTTTGTTGTGTCTAAACCAGGCAGCAGCCGGGAACATCATCAACATGCTGTGGCAGCTGATGGAAAACGGTTTGGAGGAGCTGAAACTCTTACAGACAGTTCTGGTCCTGCTGACTACCAACACAGTAGTTCATGATGAAGTTCTTTCTAAGGTACAAGGCCAACACCACCTTACTCTTTTATCTGTGCTTATCTATTCAAGACAACTTGAAACTTTTCTAATCTTCACGTTTTTCTGCTGAGTTATCTTACTTCATTAAACTGCATCTGTCTTTATCAAAGCCAACAGTTTGTGCATGGCACCTTATCTTTGTGCTGATTTTCATGTGTTTATATTAAATTAATCTCATTTAAAGTTTAGTTTAATTTAGTTCTTTCATTGCACAGGCCATCGTGTTGTGTTTCCGTCTGCACTTTACCAAGGACAACATCACCAACAACACGGCAGCTGCCACCGTCAGACAAGTCGTCACAGTTGTGTTTGAGAGGATGGTGGCAGAGGACGAGCGCTTTAAAGGTTAGACAGCATGAAAGTAAAGGAGTTGATGCAAAGATAGAAATTTTAGTAATAAAGGAATATACAGTATTTAGAAGGTTTAGTATAGTTAGTTCTTTGACAAGACATAAGTACAAATCTTTTTTTTAAATCCTAACTTAATTTCCTGGTATTTGTTGCTGTGTTGCTTCAACACAAATAATCGACATTGTGTCTAACCTCAAGGTATTGTGGAGCAACCTCCTCCTGTCCAAGGAAACACCAATAGGCGGTCCGTTAGTACTCTGAGACCCAGCGCCAAGGATGCATACATGCTGTTTCAGGTATATCCACCGGGGGGCAGTAGGACTCTACAGAGCTACACCCCCTCATTTGTAATGGCTTGAGTAAAATCATTGCACTAAGTTGTTTTCCTGTGATTTAAAAAGAGGCCAATAAGTATGGGTGGTCGTATCACTATTAGATTAGAAAATTTTGAATGCTCAATAGTTCCCTGTCTCCAAGTCCTCTTTTGTTGTCCACCAACAGAATCCGTTTGTGTGAGGATGTTTGTTCTCCCTACAGAGCTCAGTCAGTGCACCGTGATGTCTGTGGGACACAACAATCCTTTTGTCTTGAATGCCGTTTGCTTTTGCCTGCAGGATTTGTGCCAGTTAGTGAATGCTGACGCCCCCTACTGGCTGGTGGGGATGACGGAGATGACTCGGACTTTTGGCCTGGAGCTGCTCGAATCTGTTCTCAATGACTTCCCTGGCGTATTTCTACAGGTACACACACACATTCTTATCATTAATTATAGCAATGTGTGTGCTGCTATGCTCCATCTGGTCCAATGCCCTCGTCTGTTCCCCACTCAGCACCAGGAGTTCAGTTTCTTGCTGAAAGAAAGGGTGTGCCCCCTCGTCATCAAGCTCTTCTCTCCCAACATCAAGTTCCGGCAGGGCACCGGCAGTGCTGCCGCACCAGCCCCTGTAGAGAAACCTTACTTTCCCATCTGCATGAGGTTACTGCGAGTGGTTTCAGTCCTCATCAAGCACTTCTACAGCTTATTGGTGAGGTGCCAGTCCCAAAAAAACTGCTGCATAATATGTTAGTTCTGTGTGAGGAAGCTGATGCACTTTATTTATCTAGTCTGTTTAGCATTGTTCTGTCTGAGAAGTGGAGGTGTCTTTGTTCTGCACTGGGTGATTTAATGAGCTTGAATGAATCAAAGCTGTTTTTTTCTCTGGTGTTTTGTCAGTACTTGAAGTGTAAATGTATCATGTTGACTGGGAACATTCTCCAAGCTACTGAACCCTAAAACCTTTTAGTGTTTAGGTATTTGATTTTTATTTTATCTTATAAACTGGTCAAGTGTTTTTCCCAATCTGATACAATCTGTGCGTGCGTGTGTGCGTGTGTTTTACAGGTGACCGAGTGTGAGATCTTCTTGTCTCTGCTGGTGAAGTTTCTTGATGGGGAGAAGCCACAGTGGCTCAGAGCGGTGGCTGTGGAATCAGTCCATAGACTGTGTGTACAGCCTCATTTATTATGGTAAATAACCAAAACCATCTATAAACAACGCATATTTCAACAGTTGAGTCTCAAACACTATTCCCCAACTTAATAAATACCTGTCTGCAGTGTTGATATTTAAATGAAGCCTGTGATAAGCTGAAGCAGGTTTTACCACATTACCCTGTGCTGCTCTGTGCTTATAGATGGTTCTCAATGACGTCATCATCTGGGACTTTTTACCCTCCGCACCCTGTTCGTGGGCTAGCATTTAGCTTGTAGTGATAAAACCAAAATGGGAAAACCATAAAAGCAAGGGAGAAAAAATGCAAAAAGGCCACTGAACAACACAAATGAGCATGACCAGGATCATAATACTTTGTATTTAAAACGTGCCTTTCAGGACACCCAAGGATCCACTGGATGATAAATCTAAATCAAGTTATTTAGCTTTATTGAAAGTAACGATCCTTACGAGCTGCTGAAGTCTGCAGAGCCAACACACAGGCTGTGTTGACATGACTCTGTGCGACTTTCTCTGATATTATTAGTAACTATATCTTACATACTCCAAATGGGTACATACTGCAGGAGCTTTTTGTGATTATAATCTGATACTGTCAGTGTATCCTACGTTTGTGTTTACAAAGGTAGATTACATAATGTTCAAGACACTTTTCTGTTCATTGTGCGCAACCTTTTTTTTTTTAAAGTTAATTAACGTCCTATGCGGTAACTAACCATGGTAGGAGTGATCTGAACACACTCTGGAATCCCGAGGAGGGTGAAATCTTTGTGGTTGATTGTCACCAGCTACAAAATCACGTCGCTTTGCCGACATTTCTGTTTCTCCTTGGTGTTTTTACTCAGTCGTCATTTTTTTAAGAGCGCTTCTCTGCCACACGAGCAGCACAGTTTTGTAACCAACTCCAACGCAAACTTGCTCCATGACTGTTAAAACAACGTATAATCGAAACATATTACATAAACAATCTAGACTGTATTCATTTCTGTGCTGTAGACCAGAGATTCTTAACATGTGGGCCGTGAGCGCCACCTTGAGGGCCTCAAAAGAACAACAGTTTTTAACTTTGGGCCTCAGAGGGCCGTGGGACTGCATCGATTTTGAATAAGGTGCAATACACTTTCTCACCACTAGTAGCAGTAGTGCACCACTCAGATGTTTAACAACTTTTTTAATATGTAGAAGAAGAACCTTAGAAACCTGCTGAGAATGGAAACTTATTTTAAATGAAAAGTAGAAGCAAAAATGAAGGTAACTTGTCAAAAAACACCAGTTTGTCACTAATATGAAGAGTAGCTTCTGTTTTTACCATGAAATATTTTAAAAGTTCAAAACATTATCAAATACAGTTGTAGATACAGCTATATTTTAATTTGCACTTTAAATTAATATTTGTAGATCATTTTTAAACATTTTGAATGTGTTTTAAAGACATTTTAAACTTGTCAAAAAGCTGTTGTTATTGTTTGTCACTAATATGAAGAGCAGCTTCTGGTTGTAAAAGTTTAAAAATTATGTATTTTCATTTGTACTTTATCAAATTTATTTTTACAGATTTTGTTGAAACGTTTACATTAAACATTTTTAATTTATTTATTTTATGCCCACAATTTTAATTATTTTTAATTGTCTATTTTTGTTATTATGTTAAAAATACATATTTTTGTGTTGATAAGCCTGAGTGGTCTGTTGACTGACCTTTGTATTTGTTCAAATAATTGTTATGGGCAGGTTACAATATAAAAATGTTTGTTATAATCATGTCTTTTGATTATTTGACAGCAGTTTTACTTTTAAACTGTAAGTGTATTTAATTTAGTAATGTTAGTTAATAAAGTTTAGTTATGATGTAAATACAATAAAAATTAAACCAAGGTTTAGAATAATTATCATTTTGATCCATACACTGGTAATGTCTGACTGGGCCTCGTGTCACTTTATGTTCAACAAATTGGGCCCCGAGGTCAAAAAGGTTCAGAACCCTTGCTAGACTATCCCCTCTTTCACGTTCGTGCCCATGAATATGGAGATTTGATCACGTGATCTGCATGTCGCTACGTCATTTGAGAACCATCTATTGGCTGCTTCCTTGTTGTGCTGGTGTGTCTATAAACTCTTTGTTTTCTTCTTTCAGTTCCTTCTGTCAGTCATACGACATGAAGCAGCACTCCACTAAGGTGTTCAGAGACATCGTCAATGCTCTGGGATCCTTCATTCAGTCCTTGTTTATTGTCCCCAACGCCGGCAGCGCTGCTGCTGTCAACTGCCCTGCTGGTTAGTGTTCAGGATTCATTTGATTGTTAGGCATTATTCATTTCTATAAAGTTTTCTAAAACAAATATCACAGGGTTCTTTCCTAACAGTTCTGCAAAATGGCAGCGCAGAGCAGTTCATTAGGTTTCCTCTGGCTGTTCATAAATGACTGATGGACTGTGTGTCCCACACAGATGTGACCTTTCAGAAACGAAATGAGCTTCATTGAACTAAAAGAGACACTAAGCAGAACTCAGCTGTGTGTTGATGTGGAGCACATCTCCTTAAACATTTTTAAAACATGATGAATTAACTTTAGTTTAACTTAGTTAATACGTTGCTGTGTGTCATCATCGATTTTATCTTCCTAATAAGTCTGATTGTTTTTAATGCTGTGACTGGCTGTTTGCACATCGTTAAATGTTCACTTCGTAGCAGTATTGATCTTCTGCACCAGGTTTTCTGTACATGTCAAGTGTTTTGACTCTGTTACTACCTGGTTTTGAGACACAAAGGTACATTAGATCTGTTTTGGCTTTGCCCCTTCTCACCGCCTTGGTCCATCCAGACCACACACCGAGGCAGGCAGAAGGTGTGTTTTTAAAGAGCTTACAGTTTGTGACTTTGAGATGCTTTTTAAAAGTCAATTCTTGTGTTACATATCTGTCTGAAAAGAAAAAACTGCTTTAACTAAAATAACAGTTAATGAGTGGATGTCCGGCTGCATCTCAGGATTTCCAGGTAGAAAAAAAAAAATAAGTATGTCCTCTGGACAGGTTCTTCATTAATGAAACGTTTGCCTCCACATGGTGGACAAACAGGTTTAACGATGACCATCAACAGTGTTTTTTCACATACAAAAGAGGATCATCAGCTTAACAATAGATCATTATGGCCCTGATTAGCACCTATTGTTCACAGGTGGCTGAGTCATACTAACAATAACAGCATTGTAAGAGGGGAACAACTGAGCCCGGAGACCCCCGTCCCAGTTTAACGATGGACAGTTTCTCTTCACAATAATGGCTTCCTTTACTCCTCTATTAAACCACTGTTCTTCTCTATCAAGGATGAGAACATCTTCATCCCTGAAAGAGTGACCGCTGACCTGTAGATGAGTGTAAACTGCAGAGTCCTGGCCTGTAGATGAGTGTAAACTGTTGAGTCCTGGCCTGTAGATGAGTGTAAACTG